AGCTGGAAAACCTGTGTGGGTTCCAGATTTCTGTAGTTCATCACGGGCAGGTCACTTCCCTGTGTCTTAATTTCCTTAGCCCTGAAGCAGAAATTAATGTTTGACTTCCTTTCTAAATTGTCCCAAGCCCCACTGTGATTAAATCTGCTGTGTTGTGTGTGCTGATATTTATAGCATAAGACCATAGTGAAAATGAAAATTAAAAGTAGCATTGCAAAACCACGTCTTTGGAACAGAGGGGATGGTTGGGCTGTTGGAGAGTGTTTATTCACCATTGCAGGGAGATGGCAACTGGTCCCACAGGCAGCTTGAGAAACACGTGCACTCAGGCCTGACAGTCCCTGCAGTAGAAGTGGCTCAGCCAAACCCGTGTCTCACGCAGGCAGAGCAGGGCTGTGCTTGCACACACCCAGAAATTATCCCAGCCACGGTGAGCTGCCTGCTCAGGTGTTCTCACTGTTTGGAAATTTGTTGTTGGGAAAATATTCCCAACCTCCCAGCACATAGTTCTCAGCTGTGTCTCCGTGGATTGCCAGTCCCTTGAGGCAGAGGCTGCCTGGCTTTGCCTCCCACCGTCAGCACTCAGTCAAATGGGTACCGACGGTTTTGTGCTGACTCAGAGCTCACAGAGAGCCACTGGGTTTTTTTCTCGTGGAGCATCCCTGTGTAGAAAGAGCTATTTTTACCTGAGCCTGAACCTTTCTAGCATTATTCCTGAGAGGAAAAAAATAAGCCCTTTGTGCTTCAAGTCAAACCCAAAAGAAGGGACCTTTCCTCGGAGGTGCCTGTGATCCTCTCAGCCTTCCAGGGACTGAGGAACGGCAGCCTCTGAATGTGCCTCTGTCAGTGCCTCTCTTCCTTCTTGGTTACACTGTGTGGTCACCTGCTGGCAGGAGAAACCCCTCTCTGAGGTACAAAGGGTTGGTGAGTCCATGTAAGAAAAGAGCGAGACAGAGGCAGCAGCATCTTCAGAATTGCTGGTGGGTCAGAGCCTTTTCAGGGAATAGTTGTAGGGTCAAGCTGGTAAATTTTTGTTTGGAGGGAATGAAGAGAAAAATAAGAGCAGTGGAGTCTAGTTCAGTACTCAGGAGCTTCTTGTGGCTGTTAAGTACAAAGTCTACAGTTCTCCCCCTCCCCTCCTCTCCTTTGCCTCCACTGTTGGGGAATTTACTTTTCCACTGGATACACACAGGCAGCTCCTGAGTGTGGGAAGTGTGGTTTGAATAGCAGCTCCCTGGCCATAACCCCTGCCAGATGACTGAACTGCAGGACATGAAGCAGCAGTTGAGGCTGAGGAGGATGGTTTCCTCCTCTGGGGGGTGTTTGGGTGGGAAGCGTAAGGGTTTTTTATTTTTGTGCTGCTGAATTGTTGTAATTCCAGCCATGCACGGCAAAAGCTGGGCAGTGCTGGCTTTGAAGGTGCTTGTGCACCTGTGCAGGGTGGGACAGGCATCCAGAGGCAGGAATAGACACCAGGCCATCCTGTTTGGGCAATTCCACTCTTCCTGCCTCCTCACCGCAGTCGGCGTTTCAGCGGCTGAGCCACAGAGGGAGGAATAAAGACAAATGAGTTCTCCTTCTGAAAATACCTGTACTTAAAAGAGCCTCCCTCCTCCGTGGCGTTCATTATGTGTCTGTTTATTCATCCTTTGCTCACTTGGTAATTTGCTCCTGCAGAAATGGATCTCAGCTCCACCCTGTGCTGGGACTGAGCCACCCCCGCTGGCACTGCTGGAGGTCCTTTACCAGGAGGAATTATCTGTGCACATCCATAATGGGGCTGCCAGAGCCACATCTGCCCACAGCTGCTCCTGGTGCCATCACTGCCTTTGCAGGAGCTCATCCCAAATCCCAGTGGGTCCCTAACTCTGCCCTGGCTTGCGCTTTCCACCTCTTCAAGAGCTGGAAATACTCTGAGATGTCCCAGGTGAAAATGGGAAGAGCAGCTGTTGATTGGGAAGAGGCAAAAGCAGTGCCAGCGATCCTCTGATGTTAAACATTTGTGGCCGTGGGTTGAGCTGGAGCAGCAGCTGCTGTGGTGTCACTTTGGTGTTAACTGGGGAGTGGGTGAGTGCAAGGAACAGAAATTGCTGTGGAAGAGGGGAGAGAAGCCAGGGAGGAAGAGGCTGGCACAAATGCCAGGCTCCTTCACTGCAGTGCCTTGTGCTCAGCCCTCCTTCCTACAAACTAACCCCATTTCTGCTGCCCCTCTCTCCAGCTGAACATGCTGCAGGTTTGTGTCTCCTGGGCAAGGGCTCTCCTTTGTGGTGTTCAGCTGTGCCAGAGCCTCAGCTCCTGGTCTCAGGTAACTCAGGTTTCCGTGCCCACCTGGAGCTGTGCCCTGCATTCATTCCCCTCTGTTGTGCCAGCCCAGGCTGGGGTTCAGGAGCCTGGGCTGTCACTGGCAGGAGTAATTGCAAAAATTGATTCCTGGGGAATGCCTGTAGCAGGCAAATCCCTTTGACAGACCACACAGCCATCAGATTCTGCATTTATTTGAGTCAATCAATGCTCTCATGCATATTTGGGTCATAAGTGCTCTGGTATAAATTGCATTTATTCTTGTGACAGCTGTGTTCCGTTACCTGTTATTTATTTGGCTCTGTTGTCCTCTGGTTTTACACCTTGTGGAGCTGTCAAGTCAGCTGCTCCCCACTGACAGAGCTCACAGCTCAGAGCCTTCCAAAAATAACCCCTCCAGAGGGATTTCAGCAGCAGGGTGGACGTTGTTGGAAAGTCATTGGACGATCTTTTTTTGGGTTGTTTTATTGGAAAGAGGAGCTTTGTGCTTTTTGCCTGCTTTTTTTTCCCGAATTCCAGAATTAGACTTTTCATTTACGATCCAGAGGTCATTGATGCTGATAATCCCACTGATTAATGTGAATTTTGGATCACACCCCACCTGTCTCAAGGCTGAATTAATCAGGTTATTCAGCATTTGGAATGGTGGGATGCTGACTTGGACGTTCCTGATTTTCCCCTGGAAGCTTTTTTAGCTTCACATCTTTTCACATTGTAAAAATGGCAGAAGATGTGATTTGGAGATGAATGAACTGCAGTGTCCTTCCAAGGGAAAGGTCAAATTGCAGTGGGCACAGTGCATTTTGGGCGAGTCACAGGCATTTTCTGCCCCATCCCCTTCATGCCAGGCTGCTGCACCAGCCTTGCAAGGTGCCAGTGGCTTTGGTGTTAATTCAGGAAAGCATTTAATCATGGAATTGATGGCTCTGAAGTGCCCAATCCAAGCATGTGCTTAAGTGCCTTGTTGGAGCAGGGCCAGTGCAGATGTACCTTTGCAGAGCAGAGATTTGTGAGCCACTTCTAGTCTAGTTTCTGTGTAAAACAGAGATGGAGACACTCCTAGTTTTATTCAACAGGTTTTATTTGCACAAGGATTTTGGGATGGACGCAGGCACTGAGTGTTCTGTCAATGGGGTTTATGTGTGAGCTAAACAGCAACACTGTCCATGGCATTACTACTGAAATATGTGTGATATAAAGCTGCATGTGCTGCTTTTCAGGTATTACCATTTTTCTGTTACCTCCATTTGTTTTACTCTAAATGGAAAAAGAGTAAATCTGTAATTTAGATCAAATATCACGGTGGAAAATAGAAACACACTCATATGGCTCACAAAGTATAGATACAAATGGGCATGTATTATTTATAAAGCAGCTTTGACATCTTAATATACTGAAAAAAGATGAGACATTTAGTCATAGTTCAGCATTCTGCACGTTTTGGAACTATCTTAAATCATCATCCATGAAAAATTCATAATTTGGATCTTACTTTAATTTTATGCTCACATTCCAATGGGGGGGGTGTTCTTTGCTCTTGTCTTTTTTTTTTACCTATTCTATCCTCCCACCCTGTTTTGTACAATTAAAAGCAGACAGCTGGGGTTGGGCAATGCCAAAGGCCCACCCTGCTCTCCAAGAACTACCTGATAATTAATGAGAACCAGAACTCTGACTAAAGAGGGATCTCCAGGTGTTCTGGTGTCCCACCCAAGTCCTTCTGGGTTTGCTGAACACAGGGAAAGTTAGAAAGTTCACGCTGCACAGCAGTAAAACCCATGTAGTTCCTCTAATGTGGACAGACAAAATCCAGGTATAAATCAGCTTAAAACCTGCCAAGTTGCAAATGAATCAGGAATATGGTGTGAGTGCCCCCTTTCAGGTGTTCTCAGGGGGGTCAGTGGTCAGGTTGTTTTGAGCTGGGCTGGAGGAGTGAACTCTGAATTGAGGTGATGTTGCAGAGGTCACTGTGTCAAGAGCCTCATTCCTACATGACAGAAGATCCTGGGTTTATGCTCTGGGGATTTTTTTGGGAGGAAGCAAAGGGAAAAGGTGAACTTGTAGTCCTTCAGCTGAGGCCATTCCTTTGTTGCTCAGTGATGGGTTTGGATACAAGCTCAGTGTTGGCAAAAGGACCTAATGAAGAGACGGGAGTTTTTAACTACAGGGCTGGTGCCAGTGGGGTGCCAGTGGTGTTTACTGGTTTCCCTCACTCTTTCATGGTTTCTTTAAAATACTGCTTGGAAGGATGAAAGAACCTCAGTGTCTGCAGCCCATTTCTCTCAGGTCTCTGCTGCAAGAGCCAACAGGGAGCCCTTGACTTGTTTTCTCGTTGCTTGAAACTCCTTCCAACCTCCACTTCACCTTCTCAGTAAGGTTTAGGCAGAAGCTCTTGATTTATTCTGTCCTGGTTTCGCCCATCCCCAGCTCCTGAGCTCACAGTGGACTCCCAGGGGGTGGTGCTTTCAAGTAATACGAGTTCATGGATCCAAAGTTTCTCTGGGAATGAAAGATCTGTTTGATTAAGGAAACACCGACTTCTGAAAGCCCATCAGCCCGTGCAGCTCCGTGAGGCAGGGCTGCAGAATGTCTAATGAAATGGAACTGCTCTCTGGAGGATTTGGTTTGCAGAAAATTAGTTTTCATGTTCTCGGTCTGATGTTTATTAAACGTTTCTTCCCTCTTTCTCTCCCGTGCAGTTTTCATCTGCAGTTTCATGGTGGCGGCGCCGATCTTTGGTTACCTCGGTGACCGTTTCAACAGGAAGATCATCCTCAGCTGTGGGATCTTCTTTTGGTCAGCTGTCACTTTTTCGAGCTCCTTCATCACTGAACAGGTAAGATCCCTTGCAAAGGCACGTTGTGTCCTGAAAAGGCGGACGGTGCGTTCCTGAAAAACTCCCGGTCCCGGAGCGCTCGAGGGGAACGTGTCCCCCTGGTGTGTGTTTAACATTCAGCATGTTGCTGCAGCTGACCTTTTGTGGGTGAAGTGTGCTCTGTGTAACTGTGTTTGCTTAACTGTGAAAGCTGCTGTTCTTTGATCGTGCACATTCATAAAAAATAACAGATGAAGCGTATCCGAGCAAGAGTTTCTGTTGACATAAGGGCTTTGTTTTGAGGGAGATCCTAGAGAAGCTTTAAAAAGGCTTTACAGAAGTCCTGGGAAAAGAAACCCAGGGCTGTAAGTGGTTCTTTTGTCTTCTGACGTGTAACAGAAGCCACTGGAGTTTTTTTTGGGAAGTCTGCTCGTGGTTGTGGAATAACAAAATGCAGCCAGCAGTGGTTTTACACGTGGACTTTGGCTCCTGTCCACAAAGGCAGAGAAGGTGGATGATAACACAGAGATTAGATGTAGTTTCAGCTCCTTTAACACTGGCTGATGGGTATATTTGGGGAGCTGATGGTGGAGTTGTCAGGCTCACTTAATTTTGCCAAGCTCTGCACAGCTCCTCTGCTGCTCCCAGGACAGCCCCAGGACCCCGTTCCCAGGACTCCTCCCTGCATCCCTTTTCCTGTCTGTCACAGCCACTCAGAGGAAACAATGATCTGGCGGTTTCTGGGGGAAAATATCCTCTCCTTTAAATCATATTACAGAGGAGATTTAATTGCTGCAGGTGGCAACATTCCTGGAGAGACAAATCACAGCTCCTGGCATCCTCAGCCTGCTTTCCCCCAGGGAGGGAGGGACGTTCCTCATCCTTTCTGCCCAGCTGCGTTCCAGGGATTGTGGTCACACCTAAAGAGTGACAACCTGGGACTGAACCTCCCCACCCTGGTTCCTCCTGCCCACCCACGGGCTCTGCAGGTTCTAATAAAAGACAATTCCCACCCAAAGCAGGCAGTGGCTCTTACATGTAGGTCTGGCTTTCACCTTGGATTGGCTGATGCTGCACTTCCAGAGCAAAATGCACGGTGGCCAAATGTGGAAGCCTTTAACTCAGTAAATTATTCTGGTTTATAGCTGACCAGGAAGCATCCTTTCCAGAGGAAGAGAACCTCTCATATAAAACAGTGAGGCATTTTTGGGTTTCTTTCTTTTTTTCCCTTTTTTTTTTTTATTCTTTAAATATCTCTCATAACATACTGCAACAGCAGCTGTGATCAGAGCCCAGAGAGAGAAGCATCTGTGAAAGAACTGATAACTTGCTTATAAACACTTCTCATGTTATGGACATACATCATGCTCAGGTTTTCCTCAACCTCTCTGCAGTGGACATGGTCCCACAGGTGGAAGTAGGGGGACACTGGAACTGGACTGATGTTTTCAGAGCTGAATTTCAGTTTAAGGATTTCGGGCTTAATACCTGAAGTAGTTCAGGGATTAATCTGTATAATTAATATATATAATATCTATTAATATATATAATGAATATTAATATATAGGATTGTTTGTATACAGGAGCTCAAGTGCATACTGTTAGCCAAAGAAAGGGAGAATAATGCTTTTAAAACTGGATTATGTTTGGAATCCAAACCCCAATGTTTTGGATGCCATAAGAGAGACAAAATCAAAATAGCCAGGCCTGTGTCAATTCATGCTGGATTTGCATCAGCACTAACTCTGGACCCAAACTACCATTTTGATAGAAACCAGCCTAATACTTAGAAAAATCCCATCCTGATTTTCCTGGGATCCTGAACTCCACCTGAAGACTTAGCTATTAATCCAGAGGTCTCATGCTCAGCTCTTGTAATCAACTCCAGGAGATGATGGAGAACTTTGCAGCTGCTGTAAGGATGTACTTTACCCAGTGGCTCCAGCAGTTGACTAAGGTCATAATAATAATCCCAACTTCCCATAGCATCCTTCCCAATTCATGTTGGAGGCCTGGTCTCTAGTGGGGAGGTCATGCTACGTTGAACAAGGTGAATTCCTGACACAGAGATGAGAAAAAGGGGCAGGGAAGAGCTGCTGCAGCTTTTTTCCTCCTGTATTGACTTACTGGGCATCTCTCCTGATCTTTGTCCTCTGGGATTCATTCAGGGAGCAGAACAGTGGCTATTCTCTCACATTTTTTCCTTTTCTCCTTTAAGGCTGTGTGTGTTTGTCAGGGAGGAGGGTTGGGAGCTGAAATGTCAAAACCTCTTTGCTGGCACAAATAAAACCACTGTGAGTAGAGGAGTGCTCCCATCCAAGCCCACATGAAAACAGTGCTGGAAGAAGCAAGTTGGCAGAGGCTGAGCCCATTGAAAAACTGCACAGCATTGATGTGGCAACACCAAAAATCCTGAGTTAGGTGAGAAACAGAAGCCATTCAGTATAAACAGCAAACTGTCTTCAGGGATTGTCTTTCTTCAAATTTGGACAGTGGCTGGTGCCTCCTGCCTCCTGTCAGTGTGTAATTAGATAGAACACACAGCCACATAGCTCCAATTTGGAGGCTAAATGGGAAGAGACAGCTTAACAAAGGCACAAAGCAGCTGCAGAGCTGCTGAACTCTGAAGGCACCCAATTTGTAAAGGTTTTTGGCAGCCTGTTGGTAATATTGGTTCCTGGCTAAAATTTGGACACTAAAGGAAACCAACAGAAATGCTGTTATATTATGTGAGTAAATATGTACAGTATTTGTAATTCATTGTGCAAACAAGTGCACAGCAAAGGACATGTTAATTATTATCTGTCCTGCTGCCTTCCCATGGGCTCTGGAGTATCCCTTGGGTCACCTGTCCTGACTGTGCCCCCCAATTTCTGGTACCCCCCAGCCCCTCATTGGGGCATGAGGAGCAGAACAGACCCTGACTCTGTGTAGGCACCTGAAAACATCCCTGTGTTACCAACACTGTTCTCAGCACAAATCCAAACCATGGCCCCACAGAGCTGCTGGGGACAAAATCAACTCCATCCCAGCCAAAACCAGCACAAAAGGATTGGAGTTTAACAACAGTGCAGCTAAAGTACTGTCTAAATGCTGTTTTATGCTGTTTGGTTTAAAAAGAGTCACTGAAAACTGCCAGGTAAATCAGGAATTGGGTGTATGTGCTGTGCAGACATGTAGTTGCCAGAGATCACTGCATTATTAAAATATCCTTAGTTATTTATTATCAAACATCTCTTGGTTCTTAACATGGAATAAGGGCCATCAAATAAATGAAGAATGAATCTCTCATCTGCTGGCAGGTACTAAATAATAGGCTCTCAAAAGGAAAAAAATGAAAATCAGGTCAAAATTAAGGGTTGTTCCAGAGTATATAGGAGGTGATAGAGAAAACAGCAAAATAGAAACAGGACAATTAGATGTTTGTAAGTTTGGTTACTGTTCATGAGGTCTTACATTACATTTAAAAGAAATCAAAATAAGAAACCAAATAAGCACTGTATCACAGAGTAATTCCATAAATACACCTGGTTCCATGGATAAAAATAGCTCGTGGCAAATGTAACTGAAGAATATCATCAGAAGTAACAAGGCTGAGACAATATGGAAAAGGTCACCTTTTATTCTGTCAAATAATGTGATCATTTATGTTAGTGCAGAATTCTTCTGTAGAAAAAAAGATGTGAGCCCTCCTTTCCACTCTATAACACTGTTTAGCACTTCCTAAAATAAAAGTTCCATCAAGAAATCATTAACAAACTTGTTAATTAACCTAAAATTAGGTAAAGTTGGTACATATTTAGACATACCTCTAGATTAACTCCATTTATAGAAACATCAGTAAAGTATGTATATGTCTAAATTTGTATTTTGGAAGTACAAACAGCTGCCTTTTAATCAGTCCTGCCCCTGCCAGCACACGAATTTGGGCACTTTCACCTGCACATTTCTGAGTCAAAGGGTTGCTGGTTTACCCATGAGCAAAGGCTTCTGCTCAGGAGGGATGCTCTGTGAGGTTGGGACACCCAGGGTGCCTCAAAACCAGCCAGAGCAGGCTGTGGGAACGTGGGTTTGCTAGAGCTCCACATGCCAGAAAGTTGGGAAATGGCAAACCAAGGTAAACCAGGAATGTGCTTTTGAATCCTTCCATTCTTGGTAGATATTTCTGTTCAGATGTTGATATAGTTAACAGGATAAGGCCTTTATGCTCCCACTGCAAGTGAGCCTGGATAGGTATTTCTTCTAGTGTTGTTTTCTTTTCCTTTCCTTTTGATTTATCTCTGAAAGAGGAAGCAAATAGTCCACTATGGAATTCCACTTAGCCTGCAGTGCTTGCTCATGTCCTGTCTTTCAGACTTGCCAGATGTATTTTTATTTCCAAAGCTTGTCTTTCGAGGGGAACCTAAAAGAGAAGCAACAAATGACGTGCAGTGTGGAACAATTGGTTAGCTGGGTTAATTTTAAGAAACATAAACATAAACCAGCCACCCCCCTACACACAATGATTCACTCCAAGGGGGAAAAAAAAGCCTTTAGTCTTAAGTGCCCTGGCAGAAGTTGTAACACAAAACACACTCCTGTGCCTGTGCTGAGATAAATCCACAGTTTGAAAAACAGAAGCAAACAACACCAAAATCCCCAGGCTGTCCTTTTGTGTGTAAGGAGGGCACTGGGTGTTTTCTTTGAAGTCACCATGAATTACTGGAATGTTTATATCCCACTCTTCCATCCTATTATTTTGGAGCAGAGCTCTCTTTTAGAAAGGAGGCACAAGGGGTTCTCCCAGAGCTCTGAGCAGTCAGCACGTGTGTTCAGTGCAGCTCAGGCAGCTCCTGACAGGCCCTGTGGCTGCTGCTGAAGTGGTGCTGGAGCTCCCACGGGCTCTTCGTGGCCAGAGCTGTTGGTTGGCTCTGCTGTGCTTTGCCAGCCTTTGATGTGGCACTGGAACCCTGCAGACCAGCATTTGGATTTCTTTGCCCTTTGCCAGACTGCTCAGGAAAAACAATATCCCCTGTGTCTCT